TTTTTCAGTTTTTCTTCAGTTTCTCATGTCCAAACCTGGACAATTTTCATGCAGCATTGGATTTCATCGCTCGGTTCACTTGTAACTTTCCAGCTGTCCCGCACAGCCCTGATACAAGACTTCGGGAGGCTTTGATGACTTTTATTTACCCTCCATTCCCCTACAGTTTGGAATATGCAAGCCGGCTTTCTGTGAGCTGCGGTTTGTTGGGATAATCCCTGGGCTGCTTTGCCCAGTGGAGTGCTGCCACCTAGTCGCAGCCGGCTTGGCTGCAGGCACAGCGCCCGGGCACTCGGGTGTCTCCAGCACCAGCTCGCGGTGCTTTAGATCCTGTGTGCAGCAAAGAGCTGAAATACTGCAGCACTGGGACTCATCACGGGTAATGATCTAAATTAATCAATGATGCTAGGTCGCCTGACTCGTTATCAGCCAAGATCTTTAGCCCAGAGCTTGGGAAGCTTATCTCCGTAAGAAGTTTGGGGAGCAGTTCATCGTATAAAACTCCTTCCCATCTCCTAATGTTTCTGGGATAGAAATGTGATAGGGAATATCTGTAGCAGGATCCTGGCTCTCAAATTCTGTGGCAACTGAAAGAGAGATTTAGAGCCAGCTTACATCCTGTGTGCTTCAGGAGGTGCTGATGTAGCACAGAAGACAAGCTCCAGGAAGGATTGGAGGGGGCAGCTATTTTTGCATCCTCTGGGCCAACTGAGAGATTCAGAACCAGTTGGAAAGCTAAAACAAGTAGCTCCAACTGCTTTCTGTTGAGCTGTAGTGCAGTCCTGAATGACAGAGGGCTGAGATATATGTCACGGGCTCTCTTCTGCTCTCAAAGTACCATGCAGTATATTTGGGAGGATCTTTCAGGTGAAGATGCACACTGCAGCTCTCCATTGACTAAGCATGAGAAGAATTCTCTGAGAGGCCGTCCTGACCCCTGGAGTGATGTGAGGGGAGTACAGCGAGGGGCAGGATGGCTGTGCTATTCGGGGCCAACCACTGCCTCACCACTTCCTCTGGTAACAGCTCACAACTTGCCTTGATCCAACCTCTCTCAACATCATGAGTCAAGGGGGCAGCCGAGCACGTTGCTCCACGATGCATGTGCCATTTGTCATCATGTGCATGTGTGTGGACACATGTTTTGTTCTCACATGCCTTTCCAAATGTTTATCCAGGATTAGGATAATTTGAACAAGTCATCGGCGCTTGTCAGCAGTGAGCCATGGAAAAGTCAGGCTCCCTAAGCCTCCAGGACAATGGAGCACGAACAACTCTAGGTAGAAACTTAGCAAGATCTTGCAGATCCCAGCAGGAGCACTTCAGGCTGAAGCCAACTTCATTGCTGAAAATACTTGCTCCCAGAAGCTAAATAAAAGGGCTGCTTGGGAATATTCATGAAATAATAAGTCAAAGGTTCATGCCTCAATAGGATAACCAAAACGTTATGTGTCCCACATTCCCACAAGGCAAGAGTGCTCTTGGCTTTTGGTTCACTGTTATAGCAGGTGCAACATGAGCATGTGCAAAGTCCATTTGTGTATTGATCCGCAGCTTTGGTTTAAACCTGTGTCTTGGGACGTAATGGGATCAGGGGAGACAGGCATTCAACATCAGCCGCGTTGATGTTTTAAAGATACTTTAAATCGTGGTGACATTTAAAATGTGGTTGCACAGCACTTCAGTCACATAGCCAAGCCTTACATAGCATACAGAGAGCCCCAGTGGTTGCGGTTTTCAAAACACAAACAAGACTGAAGTAAAAAGTTGTTGCTGAGTGTAAAGAGGATATATGTGCCCAGTTCCTTTAGGTGCCTTCCAAAAAAAATGTAGCTGCTCAAAAAGGTGATTAACAGATTAAAGGAGTCAAGAGTGCTCTTAAATTATTTTCTATGTGGTTTTACAAAAGAAGTTTACGTATCTCATGTTTTTAAAATAAATTGCTTTAAAATTCAAGTTCACTTCACCAGGTGCAAGCTACCTGGATGTCTCAGACCCTTGCAGTCCTCTGCATCAGCTCTCCCAGGAGCACGTTTGCTTCCCCACTTCTCCCTCCTTCAAATCAAGCCTGCATCTGCTCCTGTTAATACCAGAAACCTTTGCACTGGGTCAAGTATTAGTGATTCATAGGTTAAATATCTCTCCTGTAGAAGATAATGTACCCTTCTAATAAATCATTTTAGTCCACCTTTTATGATATCCCCTCTGTTCATGACCCTATAAAAGAAGGCTGTAGCAACACTAGTATTTCAGCTATAAATCATTCTTCATGGAGGTTTGTAACTCGTCCTTATTTTGTTTTATATACAGGGTCCAGTAAGGGAGTGCATTTATTTTTATTCCCTTTGCAAATTGCCTTGAATTATTTCAAGTTATAAAAATGAACTGAAATACATCTTTACAGTATGCAGATATTTTCCTCTTTTATAATCAATCCAGATCTGCTTTGAACGAAATTATGTTTAATGACATGAATGTGTAATGTGATTTTAGCAAGCCTCATATGCTCAAAATAAATATTTATATTAAAATATGTTTCTGAACCCTAATTCAGTATTTCTACCACAATTTTATTACTTCTTCAAATATGTATTTGCATGAAAACGTTGTGGTGCTAGTGCCTGCTGTTTTCAGCTTTATTTTTTTTAAAAAAAGCCTTTCACCTAACGTACCAGGAAGACAGACTACATTGCAATCTGGTAGGACTTTTCTGGAGTGTGAAAGCATTTGGTATGAAATTCATTCCATCCACCTATAGCGTAAGGAGTTGGACTGTATATAGTAGAATAAAAATGTCCTGCATAAGCCAAGTGCTGGGGAGAACTCACAAACCTACCGTCCCATACAACTATTCTAGGGGGGCTTTTAATCCAATGTGTCTTTCTCATGCTGATCTGCACCATGTCAGCACACACTCTGCTGTTGGCATTGTGCAGTATTTTCAAACCCACAATGATTACGTGTAAATTGCTGCAAATTGTAGCAAGAAATTAGCTGTAGCTCCCATGGTATATTTTTATCCCCGTGTTTGTTATGATTTTGTGATCCTCCAAAAAAGGCCTGCTGAGATGGCATTTTTGTGCTCCTCGGAGGAGGCTGTGAGCAGAAATAGCTGGCTAATCTGTCTCTCCAGGTATTTATACCACATTCATTACCGTGCTGTCTGAGCATGTATTACTAGCCCCTCAATCTTTTTAAGTGAAATGACGACCTATTAAATAACTGTGAAGGAAGCTGATGCTACCATGACTAGTTATCCAGACCTGCTGCCGTCCTTTGACCACAGCAGAAGGAATTTTGCTTTTGAGCTCATTTTTTAATCATATATCTTCACAGCATTCAGTACTTTGAACCACATTTGTGCATCAGTTCATTGTAATGTCTGTGTATAAAGCCTTTGGTTCACCCAAAGCCTGCACAGAATTAAGCCTGCACAGAAACTAGAAGCATGTCAGTAATGATGCTAACACCGATGATTGCTCAGACCCCAAAATGCTCTGCCTTTCAGAAAGCTGAGCTCTTCTACACCCTTTCAAACAATCAATAGTTTGTGCTGATTGTTATAGACAGGTAAAGCAACACCTGGATGCCCCAGACAGGACATGGATTGCCTTGCTGCTGGCTCTTTCACCTGTTAAACCCATAAGGAGTCTCCTGTCCCTGTTCATGAGCGTGGGGAGAAGTGCTGAGCCTGCCCAAAGCCCGCTGACTTCATGAAGCAGTGGGAGCAGGACCATGATAGTACTTCATTATGACTGCATTTCGTTGGCAAGGCACTTTAATGGCTATCAGTAGCAACAACAACTAAACTCCGCACCAGCAGTTCAGCATACGTCATTTTGAGTTTTCACAACAAAACCCCAGAGCGCCCATTCATCCTTCGCAGACTTGCCTTTGTATCAATTTGGGACTAGATTCTTGGCGTGCCAGGGAATTATGCATCATAATGACTTAATCAAAGGCTTTCATAGTTTATTCTAGCGCCGAGAAACCTTTTTAAACCCAAATGCAGATGGAAGCTTGGACCCAGCAGCGAGTGCTTTGCTCATGAAGTCAGAGGAGCTCTGCACAGGCTGACCCCCCTGCCTCCGCAAAGCTCTATTGATTTTGGTAACTTCATCTGTGCGGGGACATGAATCTATCTACAGGGAGCTAAATGAAGCCCAAAGTTATTGATTTTCAAGGGAAAAGAACTTTAGTTAAAAGACCTCTTATGTTTTCTTAATGATTCCTGATTTTGAAATATGACATCACAGCAGATGAATGATACTAAGGAGTGACAGTAAATAGCCAGTTTCATGTGATTTAGTGCAGCAAAACTAAAGAGAGAATAGGCTGACTGAGTTAGACAAGGTTTTTATTTGCTCCATGTGCTAGATAACTGTTAATCACCTAATGAGAAATGCATATCCAGTGACCAGTGCTCAAGCAACGTAAATAATAGCAACATCCTTGGCTCTCCTTTGCCCTTAATCTCCTTCTGGAGGCTTGACAATAAGCAGCCATTCCCAATCTATTTTGCAACTTACGACTCAGCTCCAAAAAGGCCCCTTCAGAAGTAATTAGTTTGCTTTACATCCAGCCTTTATATTCTCGAGCTAATAAATGGCCAGTGCAGCTCCAAAAGGAGTTTGTTTCTCTGGCTGCCTACGGGGACTGGGGGAGTTGCTGTCTCCGGGCAGCACAACTCCATCGGCAGCTGAATGTCTTGGCAGGGACCAGGGCTCTCTACAAAAGGTGGCAAGCCACAAAATCTAAAGTCTTTATACCCTGTATAAAAGTCAGCATTCACATGGTCTGGCAGAAACCTTCGGGTCTCCAAGTTTCAGTTTCCCCGTCTGCGGGAAGGGCTTCTCCAAAAGATTTGTTGATTCAGCAAACATTTGCATCTCATGCCACAGCTTTCCTGCATGACCTTGACAGAGCTTCTGGCCTCTCTGTGACTCACTTCCCCACTTCTAAAATAGAGGAAATTAGAGCATTACAGTCAGGTGTCTGTCTTTTGCCTTCCCAAGGAGGCTTGCCAGGAGAACTGCCACTTACGGTGCCACTCATGGTGCCACTCAGCTGGTTTGGGGCACACTAGGATGCCAAGGCCTGGGCTGTTGGTGGCAATGAGTCCACGGCCACGTGCCCAGCAGAGATGGAGCAGGTAAGAGCTGACTCAGATGAACATCACTTCAGCCATTTGCCAGCTGCATGTGAGTCAGAGCTCTAGTATTTGTTTTCTTCTATTTTTTTTTTTGTCAGAAGTCAGTGGTGCTGTTTGTTTGTCCTGCACTGGGGCATTGATCTCTGCCAGGCCTATGTGCTATTTTTAATAGGGTAGCCTAATGCAGCTATAGGGTGAGATATTGGTTTGGGCACTTGTGTGTGTTTGTTTATTGGGTCCTGTTTTTCTCCTATACGGCCCTGGGGATCAGAAGGAGATCTGCCCTAGAGATGACAAAGCTGTAGGACTCATGATTCTTCAGACGTGTGTTTTGGTGAAGTCCCCAAAGACTGAGTACTTGTGAGGCAATCTGAAAGACTGTTCTATCAAGTCTGTCTCTTCAAATCACTTCTTTTTCACAGTAAGCCTTGCTGGCTGTAAAATTATTCTATTAAACTGTGTTACTGCACTTTGAGGTGATTCATTTTCCCGTGCATCGATCTTTGCTCCAAGGGGCTTTCTTCTGAAAATATTCTTCCTTTTTAACCATCAGATAGAGGCTACTCTTCATATAATTTGGAAATTGGTGTAGAACTTCTTTAGTTTGTCCTCTGTCATTTCCTAATGACTTCTGGAGAGCCAGCTTGTGAGTGGATTCCTCTTCTGTCGTGGCCAGATTCTTTGCAGCGTTTAGTATACTAAATTAACTTGTGTAGTTCTCCAAAGGAGTTTAAAATGGTAGATTTTATAAAAGGCTAAAATCTTTTTGTAAATGAAGAAATAGTTCTGTCAGTATGTAATGTTTTGCAGATGGAAAATTGGATGTAATTGTAACAGCAATAAACTACCTTTATAGTTAATTAACTTGTAATCTAATAGAAACTAATCTCTCTTAGAAGGTAAAACACAACACACTCGCATGATGTAGTCAGGTTTTCTGTTAGTGGTATCCAGCTGGATGCTCAACAAAGGAAAGACTGGGATTTTATTGTATTAATGCCTTGCCAAATAAGGCTCTACGTTAACCACGGCCTCTGGTGAAATCAGTAGGAGTTTTGGGTACATTAGGGTTCGCTGGCTATTATGTCTCTCTGAGACATTGTTTTCTTCCAAAAACATCCACACAATCACATTTCTTCCTTCCTGCAGATTCAGGACCTGGTCCTGTGGCCCCATGTATGTGTTTCACTGTCAGTGCATCCTCCTGAGTGGAAAAAGGCAGCACCCCGCTGCAGGACCTGGCCTGTAAATGCAGGACCAGGCCTGTAAAGGGGCTTCCTCCACCCTAAGGAGTTGTGAGCACTTCTGTCACCTTCCGAGGGAACGGAGCTGGATGACAAAGTGTGATCTAGAAGCTTGCCCTGTGGCATAGAGCTCAGCGTTAGCAAACCTCTTCCCTGACTCGTGGCAATGTTAACGAGATAGGAGTGCTGAGACAAATGTTTACAGCCCCAATAATACACTGCAAGTGGTGTTCTGCTGTGAAAAGTGACTCAGTAAAAATGCCACTTGCAAGCTGCAGGATTACTGGCTCTCAGTGAGACCAAATGTGCTCACTTTATAAGCAAAAACACTTTTTTTTTTTCCTCCCCCTTAGCAAACAGCCATAAAAAAGGGTTATGCTCCAGCTCTGCTGCCCTATACCATGTGTAGTCATCTTCCCCAGACAGTGTTACAGTCATGGCTTGGTAGTGTTTTGTCTCTATGTCTGTTACCTGGGTCACACCTTAGTGTGAGTAAGATCAAAATAGGTTCCTTCCGATAAATATTTAAATAAAGAAGAGTGCTTATTTGAATCAGATCATCTAGTGTGCCATATTTATTAACACAAACCTTATCATTTGTATTAGGGCATCCTTATGTATAGCTCATAAGTCCCAGCTAAGTCAGGCTCTGCTAGCTGGATGAATCCCCCACAGCTTTATCATTTCATTTCTTGTAATGGTTTTGCAGAGATCAACAATTCAGAACGGGGGCTCTCAGTCACCCTTGCTGATGACTGGCCTTGCAACAGCCGCTGTGGCTCCTTCTCCCAGAAATCATTCCCTCCCTTCTTCTGTCCTGCCCCTACTGCAAGGACAGCTCATGAAGCAGAATCTGAACTGGCCTCAATGGATCGAGGAGGACAAGCAACATTTTAAATCCTCTGCAATACCCCAGGTATAGACAACTTGTGTGCTTTTATTTTTAGCTGTCGGAGTGATGCTGCAATAGGACTCAAGGCAGGAATATTGTAAAGCATCTTTCCACCCCGAGGTACCTGTTTGGCTTTCAGTGAAAGCTTGTCCTCTAGCACTGATACCAGGGTATATTTTGCAGCAGGTTCAGTGGTTAAACAATCAAAATGATAGGTGAGGAGTCCTCTGCCAAAGCCAAGTAACTTCACTGGTGTTGTCTTTCTGGCAACGTCTCTGTACCTGTATGAGTCAGGATATGGTGACAAGATAACTGTAATCTCTTACTCTAGCAGTGCTGATATCACTGCCATCTCCGCCCCTTACTGAAGTTTGGGATTTGGGTACCTGCTGACATTTAGGTTAGTAAGAATACTGAGTCAGCACAGGCTCACCCTTGTTATCGTGGGTGAATGACTGCATTGGTCACTGACTCTTAAGGAATGTGTAGAAATTTATTTCAAGGAGAGCAGTTGAGTTATCAGCTTACAAAGGACCGATCGATACCAATCAGTCTCAGCTATTACAGTGCTTTTAATTTGGTGCATTCCTCTTCTGTCATACAACATCACAGGGTTTCTTCTCATTTGAGGAACCTGAAGAGAGTATTGACTCTTGACTGATTAAAAAATCTGTGAAGTTTTACCTTCAATTTGTCTACAGCATCTCTGTATAGACAAAGCAAACTATTTAGAAGTTGAAAAGATGAAAGCAATTCTGTGCAGAGATTTAGCCATGGATGTCTGGCTGTATTAATGGGAATCCCACTGCTAAATCCCTGTGCACCCTGCTACATAATTTGCCTAATGATTTTGGTTAAGCACAGAAAACAAGCACCATCTGAAACAGCGTTTGATGTACTATGCCTGATGTGTGGGAGCCAGAGAGAAAAGACAGCACTGCAGTGTGGATGCCTTGTTCTCAGTATTGGGAGTGAGAGGGGGAGACTGGCCTGGAGATAGTGATGTCCCAGGACATTAGTGACCTCTCTGATAAATCCTGAGCCTATAGCATGAATCTTCCCTTTAACCTGCTTTTAGGGATGTGCCTTTCTTACCTCAGGTCTCCAGGCCCAGGCCTTTACCAAGGGAAAGTCTCAAGCTAGGTTCCTTGCTCAGCAATAGTGTTTGGGGCAGGTCCTCTAGTTTGCAAATTAATTTGGTCTTGATCCAGTTTGGACAGAAAGCTCTCTTCATATAGTGATTCTTTCCTGTGACTTCCCATTACTTAGACCTCAGTGTTGGTGTATACTGCTTTGGTGCTTCCTATCTGCCTCTGGTAACATTTTTTTCTTAAATGATGGTCTGATCAGTGCTCTTCCCTTGCACTACAGCTTTATTCAGACAGTGGTGGGTTATACAGGCAATGTGATATGGACAGTCTGTCAAGAACTATCTGCTATTTCAGACAAATCTTTCCATAACTACATATAGCTACAGAGTGAATGCAGAAAATAACAAAACAGAGGAATTTCTCACTTTCTCTGTATTCAACTCTGATCTTCCCATCCTTCAAGTAAGTGTCAGAGCCAGCCCCGACGCAGAAGTTAGAGCAGGCCGTGGGGATGCATTAATGATGCAGCTCTAAGTCCAGTAGAAAGCTATATATCCTCCTACCACCTTTAGGGAAGATTCACTGTGAATTAAACAGCACGGCATTATCTGCATTACAGCTCAGACATCAGCAAGGCGCCTACACGTCCCTGGCTGAAGGCTGCCTGTCACGCACCTTCCCACACCTCGGCGCGTGTCTGGACTGCGGTGAGTAAAGCTCTTTGTGCAAAAATTCTCCTAAAACAAGGGGAGCTGGGCTTCACAAGTCACCGGGCTGCTTAGGAAGCTTTCTAGAGAAACTTGTGTGCTGTTAGGAATGAAGTTTTCACTTCTGAAGGCACAGTCGTGTCCCTGAGTTCTCCTGGAAATGGTGTGTAAATTGTGAGGATGGAGAACCTGATGCTGGTGGAGCAGCCATCGCTCTCAGGTGATGAAACCTGGCCCACCAACACTTTGGGGCATATTTCCACCACCAGCGGCATATCAGCTCTCATGTCCTCATCAAATTCCAACTGAAGTAATTAGCTTGTAATTCCAAATGGTAATATCCATTGCTTCATTACCTCCTGTACTCCTAACGCTGTGCAGGATGGTCACCTCCTCTCCAGCTCAGCAGCAATTATCTTCCAGCAAAGAGAAAAGCAAACAAACAAGCAACACTATCAGCCTCCACAGCACCTTGGTTCTCTTCAGGATGAATGGCGTAATATAAATGTGGAGGATTATTTAAAAACCCATTGTGAACACTTCTGGCACATTAGCCATAATATTAGTCTGAGTGTTTTATTTGGCCATAATCCAGTTCTTTTGTCGAGATACACTACCTGGTGCGTGCGCTCGCAGATGAACCGATTGGCTCATAAAATAGCAGGATGGCAAAATTATCAGGAAAAACAATGTGTTTTTATGTTGCTGTAAGTCATGGATATGTAATAAAAGGGGGACAAGAAGTTCCTGAGCCAGTGAGCATAAAGGTGAGGGTTTTATTGCAGCCGTAAGTTCTGAAGTGTGCATTTAATACAGAGTGATATTTAGCTGCCCAGCCTGATTTTTGTGTACTGGAGTAATGACAATAAATGTGAACTAGGTAATTTAGGAATTAAGAAGTCTAGCAAGGCAATGTTTTCTCTGAGATCACTGAAGAAAGGAAAACAATGTGAAATGTTTCCAATCAGAAATAAAAAAGTAAGGGCCTCCATAAGAGCACTAATGAGACACTGGCCCGAATTCATTCCACATGTAGTTTATTTGAAATCTGAGGAGGTATCAAGAGTTCACTTCTGGTATTTGAACAACATAGCCACGATCCCACAGTTACAATAGAGCTTAGTTTCTATGAAACTTACTTTCTACGTGCAGTCCTTATTAACAGGTCTGCGACCACTCCACACAGGATGCCTCCAAGGTGGAACGGAGGCATGGCACAGTGACGTTGCTGACAAAATCATATATATTGTACTAATTGCCATCCCTAAACAATGCATATTGATGTTGATAACACTCATCAGTACCAGCCAAACTTCCTGAACAACTGATTTTCAGTGGTCTGTGCAACTGGTTGAATTTTAAAACTGTGTTTTGAATCAAGCACTTGGCTGAACACAAAAAAAAACTCCCTGGAAGTGTTCAGTGAGTAGTGCTCTCGTACTGTCAGTAACTGCCACCACATCTGGGGATTTGTGAGCTGTGTGCACTCACGGCAGAGCTTCCACAACCAGGGGCTTTATGCTAGGCCTCAAGCTCAGCTTGTGTCTTAGACTCAAATACAAGGATTTTCAGAAGCATCTCCAGGAAGATATTGTGGGCTCTTCACCTTCTCTGCTGCTTCAGGGTTAAGTACAGAAGAGGAGCTCCGTGATCCTGTCACCTTCCCGCAGCTGCAGTGGGCTCTCGAACTGAGCAAACCTCAACTCCAAAACCTCCCCTGCTCCTGCTCCTTTGCTCCCACCCAAAGGCCTGTAGAGAAGAAGAATAATAACTGATCTCTGTATCTCCATGTGGCTGAGCTAATTAAGAGATGCATTAACCACGGGCCTAACTAGTGAAGCCTCAGAGCATCTCTTGTGCTGCCGGTACATCGTATAATCTCCTCACATCCACAGTGGGCCTCAGTCATTCATGTTCTGGCATCTGTGCAGTTTCTTGCTTCACAAAGAGTGTCACCAGGGAAGAAAGTGTTACTCAACACAAGTAAATGTGACAGCATCTGAGTCTATAGTTAAGTCTAAACTACTCTGAAGTGAGAACTGAAGAAGCCTAACCCTGCCAGATGAGTCACTGGCAGAATCAGGACAAGAACAAGAATCCCTCATTACCAGCTCTGCGATATAAACACGTGCCTTCCCTCTCTGTTTCCCCAACCTTTCATTAACACAGCGGTAGCACTTAGAGATTTGGTCTATTTTTCTCAGGATCAACTTTCACCCATTTTCGAGTCAGGAAGGAATTCTTCCTCTCCTCTCCTTGCTCTTCATTAACTTTCCCTGCTCCTGTAAAGCACCAGCAGCGTAAGGCTCCTCCTGGCTGCCAACTGGCCAGTGTGAACATGAAGCAGAGATTGCTGGCACGGGCAGGATGTTTCATACTTGCTGGGCTGCCCCTAGCCTCTCACCTGGGTAGGCATCCCCCTACAGCTCTTCCCGTTGCTTTTCATTCTTTGTGGGATGCTGCAGCCCAATGCGAACTTATTAAAATGCTGTGAGTCAGGCCTCCTCGAAAAGTCATGCATGACTTAAAATCACAAGGATGATCAAAAACAATAAATTGCATATTTTCTACTTGCCTTTGGGTTTTCTGAAGTTAAGGCACACCCGTTCCAGGTCTGCAAGCTTGTCTTTGCAACCATGAAGGCTAGAAACTTGGGGCACCCATTTTTCATGAGCTACACACAATATCTTTTTTCTTTTTCTTACTCCCCCCCTCCCCATTTTTTTTATAAAGAAAACTCAGTGAATAATGTAAGACCTGCAGTAAAATGACCAGAATTAGCAACACCGGTGCTACCACTGAATGTACTCGGTGAAACCAAATGAGAGATTTTCCTTTTCCATCTAAAATGAGGGGTCTGATTTTCACAACAACACAATGACTTAGGGTTTGGATATATAAAACTACCGTAGGAAAATACAGGTAGCTTTTGCTGAGATTTTTTTTTTTTTTTAATTGTGTCAATGGATTGGTGTTAGATGACGGGACGGTCACAATGGGGCTGATTGTCCCAAGACTGCACCTTCAACTTATGATTGAGTGCGCCACTGGTTTGGCTTGGGCTTGGCATATGTATTTCTTCCTGTTGCCTTCACGTGGCTTGGTGTGGTTAAGCCGAATCTTCCAAGCTTTCTCTCATTTTTCCTCTTCTCTAAATAAATTTCAAGCCTTAAAGCAAGATGCTGGCAAGGCTGCGCTTGGCATATCCAGCCGCTCAGACTAAGCACCTCGCTGGTAGTCATGCCCCTCAGATAAGTGGGATGCTGAAAAATGACTGTGCAGCCTGTCCAGGCTGGGGATAGCTCCATCCGTGAGTAAGCCCTGCATTTTTGGGGGGCTCACTGCTGTCACAAACATCACCACCTCCTGCTTCCTGTGCTAGCTGCAGTTCCTCGAGCTTAGCGCTCTCCTTGTATCCAGGAACGCGACAGAAACTGCCAAGAGACGCGGTCCTTCCCTCGAAAAGCAAAAAAAGAAAAAAAAAAAAAGGCTGAGAAAACAAACTACATATGATGGATGTTAGTCACGTTGCTTATTGCACTGCTGGCACACTCTCCACCCGGGGCGCCTATACTTACATCCAGGATTTGGGGATGAGTCAGGCATCCCGCATATGTACTTCTGGGTGATCTGAGCGTATGCAGAACATGGTGGGGACTTCTTGATATACCAACATGCTTTTTTATTTCCCTCTGTGTCTGTAAATCCTAGGCAGAGAGTCCTCTTTCTCTGACATGGGTTTGCTGGGTGGAAAAACCTAGTGTGCCAGTTAGTCTGCTGGAATTGAACAGACGAATTTTGCCAAAACTCACAATTTTACTGCAGGACACAGGGCCTGGTTGTGGTTCTCTCAAATCTCTCTATTCCAGAGTCATGTTATTACTCAAGAATCCTTGTCAAAAAGTAGTTTACAGCCTCCCTGTTTATAAAATGAAGCTGGTTTCATGTGATTTTCCAGCATATCAAGAAGTGAAGACAAATAAGAACAAACTGAACCTGTATTTTGGAAACCAACACTCTATAAGGCAATTGTGTGGCTTTGGGGAGAGGGGGGGAGGCTGACAGTTTATTTCTGAACAGTTTGTGTTGGCAACTCTGTAATTTTCCTTTAATAGCTATGTCTATGCTTGTGCAGTTTGGCTTACAACACCTTCTGCAATAAAGCTATCAATGTTCTTTTGTATATATTAAACTTTGTTTTATTTTTCCTTCTAGTTCCCGAGTCACTAACAGGAGAGATAATGTTATATGTAAGGCAATAATTCAGGCATTTCAAGACTAAAAGATGGAATATATTTCCCTGGGAAGTAAAGTTTTTAGACTTTTCCATTTATTTAAAGGGGGTGGAAGCTTAAACACTGCCTGTTCCTTGTTTGTAGAAAAATAATTTTCTTTCTTTCTTTCTGTTGTGAAAGCAGGAAGATTGATAAAAAAAAAAAAAAAAAAAAAAAAGGATTCAGAATAGGAAAGGCAAAAAAGCCTCTGAGCTCAAGTAACACATCGATGGGAAAATGTTTGCTAGCCCTTTGCTGTAGCATCTTGCTTCCATGAGGCTGCTTTACTGCAGGCAAAACGCAACAACATTGCAATGAATAAAATATTAAATACTGCCGAGGCTTTTATAAGGACATTTTTATAGTTCTGCCAGGTGCAGTGGCATCCTTTTAATTACCTGGACATGACAAAGAGTGCTGCAAAGCTGAAGTGTTGATCCTCTGTATACATAAGGCTGTAAAAGTAGCAGCCGGGCAAGGGATCAACTGCAGGTGAAAGGTTCCCTTCTGTGCACAGCAAAGGTCAGTGTCTGTTTGTTTGGATCTGTCTGTAGTTATTACTCTGCTAATGGTCGGAAATCATTTGTAAGTGTGTAAAACCCATTCATAAGAAAAATCACTTGATTTAGCCAATAAATGAATTCAAAGTATTGGTGTCTTCCCACCAGGTCTTATTGAATCTAATAAATGCAGTGCTGTAAGGAGCAACGTGCCCAGCCACCTGCTAACGCTGCCTGCCTTCTATCTTCGTAGCTATGTGCCCAGACCTTCACACCGAGATCCCCTGTCCTTGCACAGCCCCTGCACGTCTGATAACTGCTCTGCTTTGCCAAACAAGTTGGCTTGTGTACTCTTGTTCCTCGTCCTCCCATCTTTCATGGGACCTGACCCCTTAGAAATTTCACTCCGATATTTCCCCAGACGTTAGCAGGAACTCATTCCTCGGAAGCAGAATCGATCCTGACCCCACTGAAATACTTCCTACACGTGGTGCCAATGAGAAATCAATCTTTCTTTTAGCAAACAATCGATTTGCCCACTGAGTATTAAGAGCACAACTACTTACCCCTAAGCTAAACCAGCTCCCAGCATGCTGGTTAGGGAAAGGTTTCCTTATCACGAAGCTGAGTCTGAAAACTGCTGAGCATCTGCCAAGACCCCAGCTCCCACTGACTTGGGGGACTCCTGAAGTCATCCCATTTCTATCCACCTTTTACAGGATTTGATATAATCCTAGCTAAAAAGTATTCTTTGAAATTCAGCAGCTCACAACACAAGCTACAGGGTAGGGAAGCATTACTTAACTCCACAGCAGAGAGAAATTATGCGTCTTGCCCAAGATCATGTGGAAAATCTCTTGAAGCACTGGAGAGAAAAAAAAATCCATAATGTTTAGATTCTGGCTAAGTGTAAGAAGTTAATTTCCTTATTCAAAGGAAAGGGTCTGATACACACTGCAGCGAGCTTACACCTCTTGTGTCCTGTGGGACCATTTATTCATACGCTGTCTGGAAAGAGGTAACTTTTTGTTAGATATGGACTAATACATCAGTCTTCGATGTTTATGACTTTCTCTATTTTGCTTATTGCTTTGCTTTCTCTGATTTACTTATGGCTCAGTATTGATTTTGG